GTAACCATTTTAGCGCATTCTGCACGAGCAAACCAGCAACAATCGCCATCGTCGTAGGCAAGGAGGCGGCACAGACACCTTCGCGCTTCAAACTGCGTTCATCGATGCCGCTGGCGATTAAGAAAGGAGGGGCACATTCAAAGCAAGGCGTCCGACCAGGCCACATGAGCTGAATGTGGCAACTTAATGCATTCTCGCTAACACCGGATTCGAACCAGACCTAATGACAACAAAAAAACTTTTCGCATACGTTTATATTTCTACATGGATATGAAAAGAGTACTGATAGAAATGAATTTGTTACGGTAGATTCAAAGTAAAAGTATGCAAAGCAAAATTTTTCCATGGATAGTATCTTTGCTAAGTAACGCACAAATGTGCAGACAAACCCGAGGAGCCCGCAAGGTGCTCTTTCCTTTCACATCCCCAAAGTATATTAGGTGACTTCCCGGGGGCCGGATATTGTCCGTTTTGGTCGTGAGATTACGGAAATAAGTAGTTGCAATAAGTAACACTGCATGCTGCAAAAGGCGGTGGGTAATTACACACAAAAAATGAGGAAAACGCGGGGCATAAACCGTCAAAGCTTCATGCTTTAAAAACAGGCAATTTAGGCTAATGACCAAGTTTGGGATGTAGGTATAGATAAATGGCTAGAATGAGAATATAAAGGTCATACAGCATCATTTTCTTACATTATTCGGGTGCCACTTGTATTTTCATGCTCGTCATTCGGTTAATCTCTTCATTTCTCCAGATTTAATTAGCCTGACTGTACTAGAAATCACAAAAGTAGGATTTTTTTAGTTTATATTGGCAGCACTCAGTTCTGGATGTCTCCTATTGGACAAGAGTTGTTCGCTCCCAGAGGGCAACCAGAGTCATGCAAATTGTTTAATATGCTAGCTAACCTGAACTCCATTGCAGTGTCTATAACCAGCTATACCAAGTGCATTGCGGCTTATCTTCCATCTTTCAGGTTATTCGTGTCCTCAAAAAATTTCGACCAGGTAAGCTGATTCTCACGTGATGAACATGAACAGTGATGGGTTCGGCGTATGTATATAATTGGTTGAACGCCAGAAGATGTATAAATTAAACCAGTTTACTTCGCGTTTGAATCGAATATGATAATGATATATGAACAGCCGGATTTAAATGAAAACGTGTAATTGTAGATAAGGAAATCAGGATGCGTGGCCTCAGGTTAGGTCGCAGAAATTATATAATGCCTTTTCGGGGAGCAAAACTAATGGGCCGCATATTATGCGCCCGATGAATGAGTGAAAGATTACCTATGGGTCTCATATAAAGTAGATACGAAGAGTTCTTGGGTTTCGATGATTGTCCTGAGATAACATTATTGTTGGGACTTTCATTTCGTATGAAAGTGTAAGAAGAGATTCGAAGGTCAATTTCACCAGAAGAGGACGGTTGGATCCCGTTGTACTGCAGCCGTTTGGCTTTCATACGACGTTGGGATTGATGGAGTCCACAAGACCTCTCTTCTGGTGGGATCGACTTTCGAATCTTTTCTTCTTACAATTGCATACGAAATGAAAGTCCCAACAATCATATGGAGTAGAATAAGAATTATAAGGCGTATTTCATCATACCAAATATAACTTCTTAAAAACAAAAAATCAACTAGGTTAAAATAATCCATTAGAAAAGTGAATGACGATTTTGAAAAAAGTAACTGAATCAGAATATTTAATACATTTATAGCTTCCAGAAATGCACGACATCCTGATATGGAAGTTCCATTCAAAACTTCTCTGAACAGAACAGCTTAACAATTACTATCAGCAACACCACACAAAAAGCCAAAGGTTCCTGAAAAGTCGGATGCAAAACTAAAAAAGCCACAAAACAAAGTTCAATCTAGGTAGAAAAACTGGGTCTCAAAGAATCATTTAATAGATCAAATCTAGAGTAACTTTCATTTCGTTTGAAGAGGCAAAAAGAATGGATTCGTCGGACGCAAGTCCAACAAGAATTCATCAGGGTCGCAGGGCAGTGAGCCGAATACCTATTTGAAAAATCTGCAATCACAGCACCAAAGCGATCCTTATTCAGCTTTAGGTGAGGCCAACTTACGAATACCTTCCACTCGCCTCTTTAAACGGAATGAAAGGAACTCCAACAAAGTTTAATTTAGCTTTTAGATCATAAATTGAATTTAGGTAAATTTAACTAGCATACTATCTTGAGATGCTAAATATCACGTATATAACCACATCAAGATGTAGCGGAGCTGCTAAGATGGGGGGCTGCAAGGAAATGCATATTTAAAATATAGAAAACAAAGAAACACGTGGGTATGCACAAGGATGTGCTGGGCTCACCTGCCCAAGTTCATTACAGATCTTGTTGATAGTCATCCGAGCCTCGAAATTGTCGACACAACTTAACACCAAATCAACCGGGCCACCACCTGTCCGAGCACCAGAGGTGAAGCGATCAATGAGAATGTCGTAATTCTCTACCAGCGTTATGTCCAAATTGTGTGCTTCGACCTGGATATCTGGGTTGATAGAAAGAAGGGTGGCCGATGCTGCATCCACTTTGCTCAACCCAGATTGATGCGGCTGCAGGAGGATGTATGGAAGAATACGAAAATAGAAAGGATATATGTGTATGCGTATATTAAAATATAAGTAATTTATATGAAGTTTTATGGACGTAGGTAAATAAGTAGTGGCATTATGCTTTACGCAAATACACACAATGGTGAGCAAATGAAAGCATATAAGATTGGATAGAAATTTAATTGGATGCACGGATATAAATATTAACAGCTAACATGATAACAAATGAATAAATGCAAAATATAATAGAGTTTAAAAATAATTGCAATTCTGCCGATCATGATGGTTGACCAGAGGATATAGTGAATTGGGTCAATCAACATTTCAAAAAGCTGTTGGTCTAGGTTCAGCCTTGTTAAAAAGAAGGATCAGACCTAATTGCGATAAGGCGCTAGTCACGCGATGCAAATGAATAATATGCTCCTAAAAGCCCCAAGTGACTTGCCTTAGAAACAAAGGCGCTGTCGATTATTGAACCTAAAGCACGTCCTAAGCCAAGAATTGTGACAGTAAATGCACAAACGTTTTAGCCAAGTAGTAAGCATGTAAGATTTGGCCTAATCCAAAAATGCTAAAGTCAATGATAAAATGGGGATGTGCGTATGGTGTTATAACAACCAATTGTTCTATACAGGTATCTCAACTGTGCAGAAAATAGACAATATCATAAGATAAAAAGTAAGAATTTAAATTACGCTAAGTAGTTTAAAGTGATTTAAAGGTCAGTAGCTAAAATGGTCGTCTGAAAAAAACACCCACATTCAATATGGGATTATAAAGTTTGTCAGTGCTCATTTGGTTACTGCTACCAAAAAGTAAAAATGATAAAATTCAAAATTTTTTAGATGTAGTGAAGAAAAGAAGTGACTTGGAATTTTATTTATTGTGCTAAGCATTACATTCAAAAATCAGGTATTCTAAGTGATTACCCGTAGCTGAGATCGCTATCAGTACCTGAGACACCACATGAAAAATAATGTCTTGCCAAAAAAGCGATAAGAAAGTATTGGGATCCCGAGAAATCGTGCACTTGGGTCACAATTAGGCGGGCTTATAAAATTGAAAATGCAGCTAAGCAGCATGGCATTAGAGCTTGCAAAATTAGTTGAAATATCAGTTACTGTCGCAAAAGACATTGCTTGAGTTGACCGAAAATGGGCTAAATATCAAAAGGATAATTAATTTATAGCATATCTTCTGTAGAAGAAGTAAAAGGAATGCAGATGTTAACATAAAAGTAGGCGCGTTGGATATGTAGAGGCAGTCTTAATACAAGAAAAAATATGTCGACAGAACTAAATGTATAAAAAATGAATTAAAGCATTCCCTTCTATCAATTTGTGAAATAACGTTCGAAAAAGGCATTTATGATGGCCCCATACATAGAAGATTAACGAATTTCCCTCGGCGCCTGTGTAGAAGCACTAGATCGACGTTTTAAAAGCAGGATGTATGATAAATAACCAAGTAGCAAACTAGCCAAATAACGGAATGCCTCAACAGAAAGTGAATAAGGCAAATTTATAAATTTTTATTGAATAAACCAAATATTCCAAATTGATTCGTGCCACTTTGTCATAAGTTTAAGATGGGCCCCTGATCCTGAAAATGCGTATCGTACTAGACGAGGATTTAAAGGAATGTGACCAAAGAGCCGAGGGCTGTGGAACCAGCCTACAAAACTTTTCTTCGACAGTCTATCCAAATGCAACTATTATTGCTACATCACCTCATTTTACTAGCAACATTATAATTCATAAAGTTAAAATCCTATAAAAGGCTATCTGTCTAAAAAAAAAGACTTTTCACGCAGAGAGAACATCATAGTGGCTAACAGAAAATAAAGCGAACAAGAATATCTTCGGATTCTGAATCAAAGACTTCGTTGTGTTCCTAAGAAGGACGTTGACTGTCACCAAAATATGAAACGCTTGCCCTCTATAACTCCAAAGATGGAGGTCCCAAAACGAAGAGAGAAAAGGAATAAATAATATTACCAATTGTCCTATTTTGAAATGGCCGAATACAGTATGGGAGAGCAGGCAATATAAAGACAATTACTTAAGGATAGCGTCAAATAGAACATTCTGAACCCCGCGGGCCACGGCGGAGAGGAGAAAGAGAAGGAACAGAACGTCACCGGTTTAAATAGAATGTGAGCTACCTGATAAACCCTTGCGTAGTTTTCCATGTCAACTTCTGATTGGACGATGCGGTGCCAAGCTTTGATTGGGCGACGCGAAATAAAGAGTCAAAATTAGCTACGCACTCACATGATCTTTGCACCAAAGGATTTTGAACCATGGCTACGTGTGGGATGTAACAAAAACTAAACAATGAATGCAAAACGTGTGGAGATAGGTCATTAAAACTTCATTCATATCGCTTACTTATTGAATTATGAAAGCCTGTTGTAATTTTTGTGACCTGGGACTGAATAACGAAATAAAAAATAATGTAATGAAGAGGCTAAATATATTAATACTATACATATCTTAAAGGATGTAAAGAGAACGAAGTAAAGCATGGCTTCATTAAATGGACGAATTCAGAGCGTAAGAGGAAGGTGGGATCAGACAATTAACTTTCTTCAGTTCTTGATGGAGTTTTCTTAATGAATGGTTTCATGTTCTAGTGATATATGCAATGGCGAGACGGAATAGTCGGAAGAGCAGGATGGTACGCCAACAAATTATACGCAAAAATCAGCAACCACAACGCCAAAACGAACATCCTTCAGCTTCTGATTAGGCCAATTCATTGACCCGTTACAACAATGAAAAAAATAGTAGCCCAATACGATAATCAGTGTAAAGTGAGACCGATAATAATCAAATGTTACCTGATAGAAGAGACGATTCATATTAGCCAGTTCCACTTTGTCATAGTCAAAAAGAATGAGACGTCCGACGCCACACCTCGCGAGCATTTCCGAGGCTACAGATCCTACACCGCCAATCCCAATAACAACGAGGGTTTTGTTTCGTATCCTGCCAATTGTGGAATGAATGGAGAGTAAAAAAAGAAGGTAACTAAATAGATGTGAGCGAAAATAGGCTAAATGCGTATAAAAAAAGGTAGCGGCTTTAAGCAGAACAAACCTAGGACATGATCGAAAAATTCAAAAAATAAAAACGTAAAGAAATAAAGCTAATCTTAATCTATTTACTCACCTTTTGGTGATAAGTATTATGAAGGATAGCGGGGACTTTCAAAAGAATCCTATTTGTCTCACAACTTGGCAAATAATTATATGACAAGTTTTGATGAACTTCCAATAGGTGAAGCCTTATAAAGTCTTGACTTGACCTCGTTTTCGGAACTTGGTCGGAACGATAAGGAGACCGTGTGGTACGTGCCTAGCTCTGCTTACTATCATAATTTACAGCATCGAACTCATTCCATATTTGGTCTCCCTGTGGCTCAGACCAAATTGCAAAGAATAGGTAAAACCAGCCTTATATGGCTAAAGGAGGCTGTCACCAAACCAAAGGACACTCACCTTGGTCTTCATATATGCGAAGGCATATAAACTCTGAAATTATCAGTCACAAATATGGATGACTATTTAGCTATTTAGCAACTTTAAAGGGAAAGTGGGTTGGCCTCGTTGTCGCAACTTGATCTAGTTATCAGGGAGAATTAGTAGAGCGCACCTTGTCCGAAGTCCTCTGCCATAGTAGTTATTATAATTCACAGCATCAGACCGAGGACTTGGCACATTATCACACTTTCGCCGGCATCGTAGTCGGCTCATCAGTGAGTGCTGCCATTCTCCGCACCAAGCTATGAACCCGTCAGAGACAAGTGAAGTCAATCCCTTGACCAACGATCTGCCGAAAACGGTCATACTATCACTACTCTTTATATCCTGGTCCATCTATCCATTCTCAACCATTTATCAAACTGCCGTTCTATCACAACTTCTCACTTGTCGACATTCCACTCGTCAAAATGTGTTCCCTTTTGTGGCAAATATAGTGCGGCTTCATCACACCTGCTATTCACACCGACCCCCTCTCTTTCGATCAGCTAATCCGACTCGGGCCTCCAATCCAGACCCTCCTCATCGACCCGTAGATCCGTTTCTTCTCTTTCTGGTTAACTGATTTCACTCGGTTCCAGTCTCAGTGTGTGTTTCACTCAAGGCACTATTTCTCAAGCTCATATAAGCCTGTACACTGTCGCCACACCAAGCAGAGTGCCTAGGCTCTGATTCCCATGCTTGCAGACTTCAGGCATTGCCTTCACGGGTCGTCTCCTTGATTGAACCCGTCTTACCTGAGCAAACTGTGGACACATGGTCGCATGTGGCATATAAAGTGGATTTTTGGAAAATTTTGGCCATAACCTCGAATTTCTGTGACGGTTTGCTTATCCGTCGGCCTATCTCCCTGACTGCCAGGCCCCCAAAATTGTACTGGTTTATTTAAACGGACGTCACGCACTGACAACGTCTTAGCTTGATTGCCTAAAATCCCCGTAACAAATTTTCTCATCGCGATCTTTTTTCCACCGGTTAGCGGTATATCCTTGATCCAGGCGTCTCTTTTTTGCTGGTCTTGCTCTATTCTTGTTTTGCCCGAGTTTGCTTAAGCAGTAGACAAAGTTAACGCTAACTCTACCCTCCTCCAACCTCTTGTTCGTTAGATTTTTCTCTCCAACGATGTAAATGGCCTCCTTTATCTTCAGCTTCCTTGTGTTGTCACCGTATGTGGCCGTTCTTTCTGCTGCCTTCCAATTGAACTCGTGTCCAATCTGTGCGATGTGTTCAGCCAATTCTGATCTTTCAGTATCCATTTTCCTGCAGAGCCTTTGATGTTCCCTGATTCGTGTGCTAATTTTTCTCCCTGTTGCGCCAATAGATTTCTGTTCGCAGGCGCCGCATGCTATGCAGTAAACTCCTGAACAATCCAATTTGTCTACCCTCTCATGTTGCGTCAGTAGTCTTGTGAATTGTTGATTTTTCTTCCATGGCCACCCGAATATTCAATTTCCTCAATATTGGCCGTCGTTTTTGAGTTAGTTCGCAGGAAGATAGGCATATCCTTCTCAGTCCTTACTCTTTTTCATAGTACCCGTTCTGCCATCGGCTTTTCACGGCCCGAATGTCTGTATGTATCACTTCGCTTGGGTAGCCTTAGTCGAGGAATATCCTAATCAATTATTTCAACTCCTCGTCCCAGAATTCCACATCCATTAAGCGTAGTCTTCGGATGATCATGCTCCTTATTATTCCTATCTTTAGCCTCTAATTGGGATAGGACTAAAAATTGAGTATTATCCCAGCATTTCTGAACAATTTCTTTTTGAGTGACCCATTAGAGCGAATCACTTCAACGTCTAGGAACGGTAACCGCTCACATTCCTCTACTTCCATCGTGAATTTATTTTTTTCATCAATCTAGTTTATAAACTTCAGAAACTCTTCCATGTGAACAAAGTGCTAAGTAATCATCCAGATACCGCATGAGCACTGCAGATTATAGCGGTGAAATCTTGAAGTTCTCTTCTATATTGTTCATGTATACGTTCGTCAAAAGTTGTGAGAGCGGCGATCACATGGGTAGTCCAAATATTTGTTCATAGATGGTCCCGTTGAATACAAAATAGATTGCCCTCTCCTGATCTATTGTGATTCCAGGATATCCTCCTCTCGGTCCAGGATTTCCAGCAGGACTCTAAGCACATTTCTTCATATATGTATATATATATATATATATATATACATGGATCCCAAATCCAAACTTACCAATAAGTCTGTTTCTTCCAGTGTCATGTTTTTTATTTTTTGAGAAAATTCTTATGAATGTATAACCGTGTTTGATAGTCCCTCATTTAATTCCTTGATTTATAAACATATGTATGGACTTTTCCAATGTGTGTGCTGCTCCATACTTGTTGTTAACTAATAGTCCTAGTGGCTCACTTTCTTTGTGTTTCTTCAGTAATCTGTATGATATTGGTGGTCGTGCATCCTTTCTTATGATTGAATTTTTTATCCATGCGTCAATTTCTCGTTCATATGCATATCTTTCAGCATTTTACCTAAGATTCCATCGATATTCATAGTTGGATCCTTGTTTAGTATACGATATGTGGTACTATCTCGTAGAATATGTTCCATCTTCTCGGTATAT